TGAGCATGTGGCCTCCTTCCTCTGTGCAGGCAGTTGAGAAACCCACGATTTCAAATCCTGGCAGCAGAAGCCTCCTCCTGCCAAACCGAGGAGGAAGGGTCTGTGTTTCTAATTTATTCTGCCCCCCCTCCAGTTGTTACTTAAAATAATCCATCATTACATGGCTGGTGGCTCCAAGATTTTTATTTAAAGCAATATGGAGAGAGGGGAAAAAAAAAAGAAAACCCACACAACCCGTGACTGTGCTATCTTGGATTTAAGCTGAGAATCTTTAACATCAGTCTTCAGGTCACTCAAGTATACTCTTCTCTGACCCCTGTGAGGGTACTGAGGGGTACAGGGAGAAGAGGGGGAAGAGAAGGCCTGGCAGGATTTTAATTTCTTAGAAACATCTGGAAAAGGCAAGCATTTTTAAAAAGGGAATCTGTGTCATCTAGCATTGTTTCATCCATTGACCAGCATTAACACTTTGGACTAAGTCACTTGATCTCCCTACATGCATAAAATGAAGAAAACAGTAATACTTTTCTAGAAAGCTGTTGGAGAAAATGATATCATACAGATGGAAGCATTTGAGACAGTTAAAAGAAACATGTTACTTCTATCCATGGTGTATCTTCTCTTTCTTCCTTCCTTCCTTCTCTTTCTTTTTCTTCCTTTCTTTCTTTTCTTCTTTCTTTCTTCCCATCTATCTTTAATGTAGTTTTAAAGTACATGCAACTAAAAGCCCTTCTCAATTGTTCATGCTAATATTAAACCATGGCTTTGCTAATCCAGCAATGCAGGCAAGTCCAGAAATCAGTTCTATTTAGTTTTGGAATACCTTTTTCCAGGGGACTTATCTCCCTAATTAGTTTTGCTCAGGCTAATACAATGGGTTTGTTCCCTTATACCACATAAAGGGAGGGGCTGTGCTGGATAACAAAGCCAGCAATTAATAGAAAATGTACAGCAGAGACTCCACAAAGTAAATGCTATGCATATGACTGCAGATCAAAATCTCATTACACTATACAGACAAATCACTCTACTGTAATGCAGTTTTGTAATAAGCACGCTGCTAACACTCACATTTCCAGGATTTAGAATGTGAAGAGGAAACCGGGCTTCTTCCTACCTCTCCTCTGGAAGCTCTGGAGGGCAGAGTTTCTGCTTGCTTTGGCCACCACTCTATCCCAGCATCTGGCACAGGGCCTGACAGAGTCAGTGCCCAATAAATAAATGTTGAAAGAATGAATGAAAATAACAGTGGGTGAATTAACAAATGAAATGTTCCCAACCTAGTGGCAGAAGTGTGATCTCACCCATCTTCGCACCTGCCCATTTCCTATTTGAAGCCTTTCTTGTCACCCACCGCATCCATCCACACTGCTGGATTAAGACTACTTGTAATGAATCCTCATGGCAGGAAGTAGCTCTGGGCAGCACTTAGAACAATGATAATTATATAGAGATTTGTGTCTACCTCTACCACTAGATGTGAACTCTCGAGGGAAAGAGGCCATGTGCATTTGGGGGGCACTATAATGGTCCCCCAATTTTTTATTTTGGAAAATTTCAAACACACAGAAAAGTTGGAAAATGGTATAGTGATTTCTCATTGGCCTTCAACTTAGATTGGACAATTTTTAATATTTGGAGCCATGTGAACTTTCTTCACTGCTATATCCCTAGTAGAGCTATAGGTGAATGTTGGGGTCCTGTTTTTCCTGCTCGAAGAACAATATTACCTTTGGTGAGTAGGGATGGCTGAGGCAGGAAGCTTCAAGGAGAATCAAAAGGTAACTGCCACCTGATAGCAAAACCAGAATGCAGCAGCAACCTCTTCCTCATTGGTGGGCAGTTGTTCTGGGACAGTTGCCCTAGGCCAACCGAGGTAATTTTGTAGGGCAAAGTTAGGCCCTACAAATTCTTTCATTGGGGAGAAAGACCTTTACCCAGATTGTCACTGGGAAAAGCAACATTGTTCACATTGTGGGATTGGTTCCAGTGAGAATCAACCAGACTATTCTTCCTGTGGTGAGTACCTACAGCGCCCACCCCTAATGCAACCCTGAAAGAAATAACTCAGTATACGAGGTAGGAGATGCTGCTTTTGGAACCTGCACTGTGTCTTGTTAGATAACCCTGGACAAGTCATGTGACCTCTCAGAGTGTATATTAATAGCAGCCCAAGCCACCTCAGGCAGGAGGTGGAGGTGGAGCACCTCAAGGATCTTTTATAATGCTCTCATTATCTCAGTATCTACAATTTATCTCTCTAATTAGACAGGAAGCTACCTTTTTTGGTAGCCTACCACCTTTTTTTGAGGGGGTATAGTTGACAAGGGCCACCCATCATATTAGACACATTAGTCATACAAATAAATATTCATGGACACAGCAGAGAAATAGTGCTGTCATACAGAATCCTTTGTGGTGTTCATTCAAATGGGATGGAATTGAATTATGCACACAAGAATTGAACTTCCAAGTTGCATGCTTGGCCAAATAAAGGTACTATCCAACAACAACTCTCCAGCCTGTTTAATCACAATGACCCTCAACTGACCCTGGAAAGAACACCCAAACACATACACACACACACACACACACACACACACATATGCACATACACCAGGACACTACTCACATGGTACCATGTCTCAAGGCTATTAAAAAAGAACTCCTAAGCTAACCACACTTAGGCTTAGGCTTATTCTCTAGTCTTTTCATCCTAGACACATATGGAAGAAACCAGCAACAACCAGTAGCCTAAGGTCTCTTGAGTTAATTCCATCTTCCCTTGTGAATTTCAACTTCTTGCAAACACAAAAGGGAGCAGAGAGACAAATGACACATAAATAAGAGCTTCACTGGCTTGGGGGGAGGGAGGCATGAAGAGTGACGTCAGTTTTCCCAGAAATCCATTTATCACGATAACAAGGTCTCAAGTGCTTGGGCTGCTCTTTCAGCTTCAGAAGCTGGCATACAATTATGTCCTCCAGCTTACAGTATGGCAAGACCAGCCAGAGCAAAGTGGAGCCATGCAAAGCAAAGCAAAGCAAAGCAAGGGACCTATAAACTACCCCCTACCCACTTCATCTGCAAAACAAAGAGGATCTCTGGAGTGCCTGAGTTGTGCCTGAGGTGAAACAACCTTCTGGAATGTTCCCCTTTGCAGGTAAGGGAGACTGGTAAGAATGTATGGAAGGGTCAATGCAAATTCATTATCTGGCAAGAAAAAAAGATCATTAGTATCATTTTTGGTCACTGTGGATGGAGCAAGCATAATCCAGGAAGCTACTTCCTCTACTTAAACTATGCCATCTCTAAAATGCATGTAACAAGGGGCAGAAAAGCACTCTAGAAGCCCTCAAAACACTAAAGCAATAAATATTACAGTGCCAGTTTTGTGGAAAAGAGAATTACATCAAATCCAATCATCACAGAGCACTGTCTTCTATCTACTCCTCAATCTTCCACACCATGACTGCATAAAGAGCTCTATTCTGGGAGTGTTCAGGGGGTAAGGGAGGTTCCAAAGAAATGATCCTGACCTTCCAAACTGGAACAGAGGTGGAATAAATTTATTCCATCACATTCTAGATTCAGATTTTAAAAACAAATCAATTTCAATTACACCACACACCTAGAGGCTGGTGGTTTCTTTTGTTTTTTTGTTTTGTTTTGAACTAGAACTGCATTGTGTGGAATATTTCCGTAAATAAGTAAACTACAAGGTTTAACAACATTTTATGTGGCTCAGATATTTTCATCATGTGATATTTAGTGTCATGGGATTTGACCTACCTCTACATCATTGCCCTGCCTCAACTCAGGGTGCTGATGGGCTTCTTAAAATCCTAGATACCCATGGATGAATAGAAAAACTAGGTTGTTCCTCTCAAATGGAAACATCTCCTTGCACAACCAAACTTCTGGTCTAAAACAAACATGGAGCCTCAGGTCACTTCAATGATTTCTCTGCACATCCCAGGATGGAAAACTTCAGTTTTTTAAATGAAGACTTTTTTTTTTTTCTTTTCCCAGAGTTGGTTGCCAACAAAAAGAGAGCCGATACTGCTTTTGCAAGTCTCACACTTATTTTCCTGAGTCCCCACAGAAAGAAGCCAGCTCCACAGGTTTTGGCACACAAGCCCAGTTACACTGAACAGGCACCCGAGACAGACCCCCAGAGGCCCGCTGAGAAACATGCCAAAATACGCAGCCAGCCACCTACAGGCCAGCGAACTGCACCCCACACAGACGCAGAAGTGGGACCCAGAGGCACACAGAGCAAGCAGACACTGAGGCATTCTGGACGCATGGACGCACACCATAGAGGTGAGCACACTCACAGAAACAGGCAGACTCATCTGGGGTCACAGACAGAACCCCGGGCGCCACTGCCGCCTGCCCAGAGAAGGCACGAGGGCGCGCGCGTGCACACACACGCCGCACACACCGATACACACACAGACGCAGTCACATATGTAATGCATATGGAGAAACCCTACTCCAGCCAGTCACCTCCCCGCCCCCCTCTCACTCCGCCTAGTGCCCCAGGCTAACCCCAGCCCGGCGCCCCTCTTCCAGAGCTAGCCGGAGTCCCAGCAGGCGGCTGAGTGCTGGGGCGCAGCAAGGCCAGGGGGCCAGGGACCCCGAGGACTCTGTGGCTGGTGCGGCCATTCATTCGGCAACGCCCCAGCCGCGGGGCCGCAGCTGCGGCGAGGGAGGCGGCGGTGCTTACCGCAGCTCTCTGGACATGCAAGTTCAGGGGCCCGCCCGCAGGCTTTGCCAGCCCCCCGCCCCCCGCCAGGCTCCCGCCACCACCGTTCTGCAGGACAGGCTAGGGAACTAAGCCGCTGACCTCGGGAGCAAAAGTCCCGCCATGCCTCGGCTCCTGGATGCTGCCCACTGCCCTCCTCGAGGTGGAGGTGGCGGCGGCCAAGTCTCCTCGGCCCTCCCCAGACCCTCGGTCCCCGGCCCCAGCGCTGGCACCCAAGTCCGGCACTCACCACCTGGCGAGCTATATCGGTCGCTGCCATCGCTCCTGCGTCCGCCAGGGCTGCCACGGGCGCCGCCGCAACGGGAGCTACTGCACAGGAAACAGAAGAGCTCCTCCGACAAAGAGAAAGTGTTACACTTCGGGCGCGACCAAGTCCGGTGGGGGGGAGGCGCAAGGGAGGGGCCCCCTCGCTGCTGCTCCAACCCCAACCTCCCCTCTATCGCCCACCCCTTCGGAAGTAGGGTATGGGGAGGGGGCAGATTTAACGCGCCGCTTCCCCCTACCGCTAGCCCAGTTCCAGCTCTCCCTGCAACCCTAGCCATAGGCCTCTGCGAAGGGGGGCGGGGGCTCCCCTCGGTGACCACGTCCTCTGCCCCCCCCCCGCCACTGGGCTCCGTGGTACGTCCCGACCTCTGCTGAATTGTCACACCCCCCTGCTCTCCCTTACATCCCCTAGTCCCCAGACCCTGTTGACTGGAAGGGAGCCCCCGCCCCTCCCCCCCTCCTGCGCTCAGCACAGCAGCTGAGCTCCGTAGTCCTCCTCTCCCTCCTCCCGGACCCCTGTCTCCCCTCTTGCTCTGCACAGAGATCCCAGGGTGCTTGGATGGGAGCTCCGGCCGCTCGAGTCTCAACGCTCCACTGTCGTCCACCCCCCTCCACGACCCAGGACCTTTGCTGAGGCTGAGGGAAGGGTGGCTGCGGCACCTGCAGCTCCACATTGGAGCCCAGAGAGAGGGCGGTTAGGGGCAGCCGCACTGCGGCCCGGCAACTGAGCTGTGACTTGTGGAGTCTGAGCCCAGGGTCCTGAGGCACCCCTCCTCCCCTGGGGTTCCCAAGCCTCGGGGGTTGTAGTTTCGTGGAGCCGAGCTCACCACCTGGGTGCTTAATACCAGTGGACCTCACGCCTCTCTTTCCCACCCAGCTCTATCCAGACGCTTAAGAAGAGGCTTATTAAACTACCCAAGCTTCTTGTGTCAGGGGCCACAAAGGAGTCTCATGGGAGGAGCAGAAGGTCCCTAACTCTGTGGCGTGGGCTGGAGGGGCAGGTGAAGGGGAGATTTCCCTAGTCGCTCTGTCCCGCCCCTGATTCCCCCTTTAATTCTAATTTATCCTGGGACAAGGTGCCCGACGTTGTGTAGGGGATAAAATCCCCGAAGGCAGGGACTTTGCCTGCCTTCACTCCTTTTCCTCCTGGCCAGCTGCCGCTACCGGTTCCTCTCCTTTGATTCTGCATCTCTCCAGCCCTGAAGTCCTTCCGTCTCTCCTGTGATTGGCCCCTTGGTAGCTCCCTGTGACCCGAGAACCGGGGCAAATTTGGCATGCCCAAAGCCCGGGAAGGCAGGACACTGTACTTCACTCCTCAAAAAGATAGGATCCCTGATCACAAAGAGTGACCCAGGATGGAGGGCAGGCCTAGTGGAGGAAACCCTGGATACAGGGGGCCCTGTGCAGTGCGGAGATAAACCTGAAGACACTCAAGGCTCATGCAGCTGAGAGGTAGGAGAAAGAAGAGTCGATGGATTCAGGGAGAGGAAGAAGGGAACCGACTCAGAAGTGGAGATCTAGGAGAAGGAGGGGAGGCAAGGAAATGGAGTGGCCACAGGAAGAGCTTTCCTGACACTTGACTCCACTGGGTAGTGCTCTCACACTCTCTCAGAGCTCTTTATGTACCTCCTATACCTCTGCAACAACAAATCTGCAAAATGCATCCCCAGTGCTTAGTGCAGGGCCTGACATCCATAAGATACTGGATTAAGTGTTTTCTGAACAGTCGGAAGAACATTCAGAAGTGAAGCAAAGGGGATGGAAGAAAGAAGGGATAGTATATATAAGCCAAGTATCCAGGAGATGCCCACTGTGCTCCATCATTGTTCTGGAGACCCGAGAGTGACCTAAAGAGAAGAGCTTGGCACTATCAGGGACTAGTACAGGGAAGTTCTGTGAGACAGATGGCACAGGCCCACAGATGGTGGTGACAAGGAAAAGGGGCAGATGGAGTATCAGAGACCCTCTGGAGCACAGAGGTAGGGCCTGGGGGATGGGGCTTGGCCCTAGATTGGGATGCCTGTGATACCAGGGAGCAGAGCAAAGTTTGAGGAACTGCTGTAAGGCTTGTGCCCCAACCAGATGGGGGTGGGAAGTCAGAGGTGACTGGCTGCTTCCAAGCTGGGCAACTATTAGGGAGAGGAGTCTTCCCTGGCAAAAGCTGGTATGTAAGTAAATGGGAAAGGATCACAGGCCATTAGTTCTGATCTGGGCCTGGGGTTTGGTTGGGGGTGGGAGGAGAGCTACTACTGGGAGGGCAGAGCTGGAAGTGGCCACTGAGCTGTGGCACTTCCTTGGTATTCTGCCTGCCCTGCCTCCCAACAGTGCAGCACACTGTGCCCTGAGCTCCTTTGCACTCCCAGCCTACTGAAGCCTGGTACTTTCCCTCCTAGAACTGGAGACACCAAAACACAGAATCCTAGGTGCCCCACTCAATCCACGTGTCACTAGAGATGATCAGAACCTTGCCAAAGTCTGGATCTGGCAGACTGAATCCAAATGTATTTTTTTTTAATTTTTTAAAATTTATTTTTAGTTGTAGATGAACACAATAACTTTATTTTATTTATTTATTTTTATGTAGTGCTGAGGATTGAACCTAGTGCTTGCTAGGCAAGCACTCTACCACTGAGCCACAACCCCAGCTCCCAAATGTAATATTGAAGTCTCCTTCAAAACTGGGAGTTGGGGTTGTGGCTCAGTGGTAGAGCACTTGCTTAGCACGTGTGAAACACTGGATTTGATTCTCTGCACTACAAATAAATAAATAAATGAATAAATAAATAAAAATAAAGGTCAATCAATAACACACACACACATATATATATATATATATATATATATATATATATATATATATTTGGTTCCTCCAAGACTGGCTGTCTGCTATGCAAGGGCTTCCTGGGCCTCCCAGTTTCCATGGGGTGTGGAACAATATGTGTGTTGGTGTTGATGTGTGAGTAGGTGTGCATTTATATATGTCAGTGTATGTATTGGTGTGCTTTGTCAGTGTCAGCTGTGTCTGTGTTCATCTGTGTATCAATGTGTGTGTGTGTTGGCATGTGCTTATTCATATATGTGTGTATTTGTTGGTGTAGGTCTACCATGTGAGAGGGTAGGTGTGGGCATATGCAAATATGTATGTAAGTTGGTACATTTGTGTATTTCAATTGTGTCAGTGTGTATTTTTTATTTGTGCTGGTATGTATATGAAGGCTTGTGTGAACCAGGCGTCATGGCATATGCCTGTAATTCCAGTGGCTCAGGATGTTGAGGAAGGAGGATCATGAGTTCAAAGCCAGCCTCAGCAAGTTAGTGAGGCCCTAAGCAACTTAACAAGACCCTGTCTCTAAATAAAATGGGCCAGGGATGTTGCTCAGTGTTTAAGTACCTCTGGGTTCAATCCCTGGTGCAAAATAAATAAATAAAAGCTTGTGTGGGTTTTGGGGCTGTGGCTCAGTGGTAGAGTGCTTGCCTAGCATGTGTGAGGCACTAGATTCAATCCTCAGAACCATATAAATAAAATAAAGGTATTGTGTCCATCTACAACCATATATATGTGTGTGTGTGTGTGTATTTGTGTGGCAGTAGTATATCCTGTATGTGTCAGTGTGTAGAGAGGCTTTAGCTCTTTGTGTTCTGGGCTGTGCATACCTTACCTCACCCAAAGCAGTAGACCAATGACTGAGAGGTATGAATTATAACACTCATTTCCACAAAGACATTTGGGAACTCTTTGGGTCCATGCTTCCCAATCTTTGGTCGAGGGTCACCTCCTCAGCTTCAAGGGAGAAAGAAAGACTAAGGGGACAAGAGTTCTCATGAGTGGTTAGTTGGTGGATTTTCTTCCTTGACTATCTGTCCCAGTTGATGAGTGGGGCAAAAACTTCCCTTTGTGAAAAGGTATTTTTAGACTCTCTGGCACTGCCATAAACAAGTGTACATCTTTGAGGTGTTTTTGTGGGGCCCAGTACATTGTCTGGCAGGTGCTCAATCAATATTTGTTGAGTGAGGAATGGACGGACAGAAGCATGTAAATCAGACACTTTCAATATTTTCACTGTCCCTAAGGAAATCAGAGCAAGCAGCAACTTCCTCAGAGCCAGCAGGTGACTGCCATTAGCAAGCTAAAGTTGTTTGTGGAGCCAGAATCCCCCCCCCCCCCCCCCCCCCCCCCCGCCTGGGAGGGGAAATGGCTACCCCTGCTAGACAGGTCTGAGGCCTAATTGGAGCTAAGCTTTAGAAAGGTCACACTAACTGTTGAGGTGGTGGGGTACTAACAGTGGATAGGATGAGGGGGACAGGGAGGGAGAAGAGGGCAGTGAAAGGAAGCTAAGAGCTCAGGAAAAGCCTCCGTCCTGAAACTGTGACTTTATAAAAGGAGAAAGACATGTGGGACAGTAGAGTTGGCCTGAAACGGAGAAGCCCAGAGAACAATGAAAAGATCAGAAAGTTGGAGGAGGAAGAAAAAGCAAAGCTGAGAAGGAAATGATCTGGGAATAACTAAATCTGGATATCACTGATTGGCTGTGGGTTCCATTCCCAGCACCAGTGGGGGTGGGGGATGAAACTCAGTGAGCTGAGCCAAAATAAACTAAGGATTCCTTTGTGCATTATCACCTGCTGCCCTTGGTTTGTTAGTTTATCCCAATAGTTCTCAAACTGTGGTCTATGCCTAGCAGCATAACAGCATCTAGAAAATTATAAGAAATGTATATTCTCGCCAGGTACAGTGGTGCATGCCTGTAATCCCAGCAGCTCAGGAGGCTGAGACAGAAGGATCACAAAGTCAAAGCCAGCCTCAGCAATTTAGCGAGACCCTAAGCAATTTAGTGAGATCCTGTCTCTAAATAAAATATTAAAAAGGGCTGGGGATGTGGCTCAGTGGTTAAGCGCCCCTGGGTTCAATCCTGGTTAACCATAACCCCCCCCCAAAAAAAAAAATAGAAAAGAAAAAGAAATGCAAATTCTCAGCATTTCCTCCACCCCAACCCTCACCCCCCCCACACACCACCAGACTTACTGAATCAATCAGAATTTCAATGACTGGGACCCAGAGATCTGTGTTTTAATAAGACCTCCAGGAAATTCTGGTTTATTCTAAAGTTTCAGCATCACTGGTTTGTCTGAAAATCTAGCCCCAGTTGGATAGGACACAGGACTGGTAAGGTTTGGTAGATCAAGGGGAAAGTTGGAAGTCTGGGTCATTGCCTGCAATGGCAGATCCTGATGGATTGCTGCTATCGGCTGCATGAGAATA